TAATAAAACATTATTAAGATAGAAAACACTTAATAAAACATTATTAAGATAGAAAACACTTAATAAAACATTATTAAGATAGAAAACACTTAATAAAACATTATTAAGGTAGAAAATACTTAATAAAACATTATTAAGGTAGAAAACACTTAATAAAACATTATTAAAGTAGAAAACACTTAATAAAGCATTATTAAGGTATAAAACACTTAATAAAGCATTATTAAGGTATAAAACACTTAATAAAGTATTATTAAGGTATAAAACATTGAATATAAACACCGTAAGTCACCTGCAGTCCATGTGAGTACTTTAGCGAACAGATGATTTTATAATAGTTCACCTAAAAATCAATATATAACAATCCGTCTTGTCAAAAACTTCTAATAATATCTCTCTGCTGATTACGTTGCGATATTTCCATAAACCGTGATTTAAATCTATTCATTTCTGCAGGATCAATAATACAACCAATAACGTTCCCCTTACTATATGTCGATTCGTGTGTTCTTTCTTGGTTGATGCTGGACCGTAGGTTAGCACTACGCTATTCTGCCTTCGTAAACGCTAGTGCGCAGTCTCCCGAAGAAATAAGTTTCCACAAACTCTACTAAAGATGAACCAGCCCATGCACTTACGTTAGCACGTGCGTGTCACGTATCTCACTTAACTTCTTCAGTATAGCGCATAAACTTTCTTCAACTGTTCCCGTGTGAAGGACAACTGACCACCAGATGGCGAAAGAGTAAAAAAAATAGCAAAAATATATTGTCAGATTACCACGCCATAATGACACAGGACAGCTTACTACGCGTGTTTCGCAGCCATTGCAGATCACGATATTTTTTTGGGGGGTGGGGATTTTTTAGGGGTGGGGTGGGAGAAGAACATCATATAAATATATAGATATATAACTACGTTCTTTTCTTGGAACGAGAACTACATATAAATATACCCTTTTCATAGTCTGTTCTATCAGTAGCTGACTAGAAACGTGACTTTCGTGACTAGCCTATATTCGTAAAGCGTTATTTGAAAGAAAACTCTACTACTATGAAAACACGAGGAGATTTGGGCTTTGAAAGCAAAGTTTAACGTGCCTTGACAAGTAATATGAAAAGCTTGTCCTACATTTATTTAGGATATTTATAGAACAAAACTGAAATTAGTTTTAGGTTTTTTTTTTTTTACTATTATCGTATATTATTGACAAAATCGATATTAACCTCATACCCTATTTCTAAAACTGGTTCAACCAGAACCGAATAAGATTGACTCAAATCCAGATTTTTAAACAAATGGTAACGAAAAACTTACGTAAGTGTCGCTTTTTTTTTGGTTTTGTTTATTGGATTTAGCACAAAGTTACATTAAGGCTACCTGCGCTCGTCATCAGTAATTGTAAAGTGATAGGATAGACAGGAGACTTTCTTTTTGAATTTCGCGCAAAGCTACACGAGGGCTATCTGCGCAAGCCGTCCCCTAATTTAGCAGTGTAAGACTAGAGGGAAGGCAGCTAGTCATCACCATCCACCACCAACTCTTGGGCTACTATTTTACCAACGAATAGTGGGATTGACCGTCACATTATAACGCCCCCACGGCTGAAATGGCGAGCATGTTTGGTGTGACGGGGATTCGAACCCGCGACCCTTAAATTGCGAGTCGAGCGTCCTAACCACCTGGTCATGCCGGGCCAGACGGGAGACAGCTAATCAATACCGCCAACCCTTGAGCTACTCTTGAAAGACCGAATAGTGGAATTTTACTGTCACGCTTACTTTATATTAAAACAATTTTGGAATCTCACTGAGGCATTGTAGTCCATATCACCACGTCCACTCATGCTCTGTCTGACGACTGTCCATCTTGGCAATATTCTTGTGGTGTAGTCTCCATTGTACAATGCTCCGTCATAAGACTGTCATGTCCAAAGCACACTCCTCCTCTCTGATAACTTTCCATACTTTATCTAGTGTACGAGAACGATGGTTTCTCAGCATCCATTTCAACAGTCCGTTCACAGAGAAGCCCATAGGCGTTGTGTCTGGCAACTTGAAGTATGGTTTCGTATGGAATAGCATAAATGTTTCTAACTATGTACCATATCCAAACAGGACCTTGGTGACCATGGTGTTTTACAGAATCCTCCCTCTCTATTTACCATATCCAAACAGGACCTTGGTGACCATGGTCTTCTACAGAATCCTCCCTCTCTATTTACCATATCTAAACAGGACCTTGGTGACCATGGTCTTCTACAGAATCCTCCCTCTCTATGTACCATATCTAAACAGGACCTTGGTGACCATGGTCTTCTACAGAATCCTCCCTCTCTATGTACCATATCTAAACAGGACCTTGGTGACCATAGTCTTCTACAGAATCCTCCCTCTCTATGTACCATATCTAAACAGGACCTTGGTGACCAAGGTCTTCCACAGATTTCTCCCTCTCTATTTACCATATTCAAAGAAGACCTTGATAACCATAGTCTTCCACATATTTCTTCTTCTTGAGACACAAATAATTTCCAATTTTGATACATTTATCCATTTAGAAAGACTCTTGACATAAGTCAATTTCTGTTTTCCAAGGTCTCTTCTTCCTTCAGTGTTTCCAGTTACGACCAGACTTTCAATTTCTTCTTTCCTCATAACGTGTCTGAGAAACTTCAACTGTGTTTTTGTTATGTTAGTTTGCTCCTGCAACCTGCTCTTAACAAAATATCTTCATTTCAGGTGTAACTTCATACCTTCAAGATGCGCCTTAAGAACCTCAACTCAATTGCTTCAATTCTCTTTTCCAAACTTGTTGATATTGTCCAACATTATGTAGCTTACGTGATAATTGGTATAATATAGTAATCCAAAACTCTTAACTTCGTCTCCATAGAAATTTTACTATTTGTCAGTATCCTTTTGATTTTCGGAAATGCGTCTTTTGCCATCCATATTCTCCATTTTATTTCATTAACACATTTACCATCTGATGTTATCCAGCTTTCCAGGAGGTTGAGTTTATTAACCTGTCTTATCTGATCCTTATCTACTTTGACAATACATACAGGAATGGTCTTATGTGTAATTACCATACATTCTATGTCTTCCTACAGTTGTGCCCGGCATGGCCAGGTGGATAAGGCGCCCGACAAACAATCTGAGGGTCGCGGGTTCGAATACGCATCCCACCAAACATG